ACCTGGGTCACTCAGTAGGTTCAGTGACAGACTTGGGCTCAGATCATGATCTCCCTCTTCTGGAGTTGGAGCCCCATATCAGGCTCTCTGTTCTCAGCACACAGAGCATACTTTGGATCCTCTGCCTCCCTCTTTCTGCCCCTCCTCTGCTCACGTGCAAGTTCTCTCTCAAAAATAAATAAATATTAAAAAAAAAAAAAGAATTCCTGAAAAAGATATCAGCGCAGGCACCTCTTAATAAAATTGTGTATCATACACTCCATACCTTTAGCTATAAATATGAAGGAAAGGGGGAATAAAAGAAGGAAGAAAAAGGAAAAGAGGAAGTGATGTGTTCATTTACAATAGTCAGGAATCAAGATTATTGGTTTAACCAACTCAATTACTTGTTCTTGAAAATAGGGAATGTATGTTTATACCATCCCCCCCCTCCCCCTCATCTCAAGATCAGAGGGCCTTATCTGTGGTCAGTTTTAAGACTAAATAAAGGCTATGCTTTTTGGTAGAGATTAATCAATAGACTGAGTTCTTGTTAGCCTTCTAAAGCTTCAAAGTGGCCAATTTAGACTAAAATTAAAAATAGCATCAACTTAATCCGCAAGAAGAACTATTGAGAAAGACATTTCAATTAGAGACTTGCATCAATTTAAAATGTATAATATTAATGTGACTCTTCATTGCACAATTACCTAATTTCATTTTTGGATGTGTGCGTGTGTGTGTAAAACTCTCCAAAGTATCTGCCTCCCTATGAAAAAATTCCTTAGCACTGTGTAGCAATAAGAATGAATAGCTGGACATTTCGAGCCAAAGGTAACTCAAAGGTTGTCACACTTGCATGGGTCCATGGGCAAGAAGGACTCGGGAAAAGCTGTGCACCGTCCGTGTTCAAAACTCGAACGCAGCGTTCATTTTAGGACGCTCCTTACCAGTCTTCTGAACCTGCCCTGGCAGCTCCCGCGGGCTGGGTCAGGCCAGGCCAGGCCTCCAGGTGGAAACGGAAGCTGCCACCCGCCGGCCGGCGTCCAGGCCTCGGGGCCCGGATGGGCGCACTGCCGCAAGGATCCAGGACGGGGTCCAGGCTCTGGGCACTGGGGTCTGAGCCCAGGCCCCGCCCGGGAGGCAGCGTTTACTCCAGGTCGCGAGCTCTAGGGACAAGCACGTCGCAGTTCTCTTTTCGCCACGAGGTGCTCGAAGGAGGAAATGTGGACTTCTGCGCCCGCCCAGAGTGGGGCGCCCACGTGGGACCGGACCGCGGGGCGTTTTGGCCTCCTGCGTCATTACGCCCCCACGCACCACCCTGAACCTCGGAGAGACTGCGGAAGCGGATAAAGGTGGGGCACGAAGACCACGGCACCCCCACCCCCACCCCACTTCCCGCTTTTTCGAGAGCGGTGGCACTGTGTCTGGGGCCCGAGCCTTCTCAGTCTCCACGGGAGACCCATCCACCGCGGGTTCGAGGCCCGCAGCCGTCGGAGGTACGGGTTAGGGGTCTTGGTCTCGCTGTCCCCAGCAGCTGGCCGGAAGCTGCCTCTCGGCCAGGAGAGTGAGACTCTCTGCGGTCCCTGGCACTCTCTCTGGTCTCCAAGTCACCTTAGCGGGGGCGGAGGGGGGTGGGCGCCGCTGGGGCTGGGGAGGCCCAGCATGCGGAACCCTCCGCTTAGTTTGCTGAATTGGGGTGCGGGTGGGGAGGGTGGAGGACGGGAACACGCGCCTGCACCACTTTTGCTGGAAACCCGGGTCCCCGCTCCCTCCCTGGCGCCGCAGTCGCTGCAGGGGCGTCCACGGCGCCGTCGACTGCGAGCAGCCAGGCCTGTAGGCTTCCGCGCCGCCGGCAGGAGCGCCCCGCGAGTGTTCCAGACTCGGCGGGCCTTGTCGGGGCGGGAGGGCAGGGGCTTTAGGGACTCTGCGCCGGCGCTGAGAAGCGCGGGGGTCCCGCGGGGAAGCCCCGGACTTAGGGCAACGCAGACGTCCCGGGCGCGGGCCTCCATCGGCCTTAGCCGCCTTTCGGGCAAAGCTCCCTTAGAAGCGGGGAGGAGGGGCCGTGGCCCGCGACCCGCCCCTCTTTCGTCTGGAGGTGACCTTATGCCGACAGGCAAGTTTCCCCCTCCCCTTTCCAAAACTCTACGCGTTTGTTAAATCCGGTTAAATGAAGAACACTGAAGTCTCCCGCTCTGCTGTCGGGAGAAACGCCTCTACTTAAGACCATCGCAGCTAAAATGTGGTTTGGCTGTAAGCTGATAATCAAGTAGCTGTGGTCAGACACCCACTCCAGAACATCGCTATTCAGGGACCATGTTGTCACACACGACGTCCATTAGGCCCCAGTAATCCGCCATCAACGCATTTTAGAGCCATTTGAATGTTAAGGAGATTTTTATTAATGGCCCATGAGCCTAAAATGTGACTATTGATTCTTGGAACAGATTTTAACAACTAGGGGCCGGGATGAGTGATTTTCAGGTGGCAGTGTGGCCGCAGGCCTCTGGAGACTCCAGTTGGCAGATTGGGGGCAGGGCCTCAGGGAGAGTCTTCACCCAAAAGCTGACTCTAAGGGGCGCTTTCAGGCCTTTACCTGGGGAACCGAGGGTGGAGGGCAGCAGACCTGCAGGGTGCAGTCAAGTGCTGCTCCTCTGTTTCCCGGAGGCCGCATTTGCTGGGCTCGTCCTGGGCCGTTCAGAGGGGTAGAAATCAGCACTGGTATAGCTGCTAGAAACCGGCATCTTATTTTTAAAGACACCCTCGGCTGCAAGTGTCTCCTAGTAAGAAACATTCTAATCCAAAGGCCCCCTTCCCACCTCCACAGTAGGCAAACCAAGGCGAGGACACCGGGAGAGGGTCGCAGAGGATTCTGATTCTTGGACAGCTTTTTTTTTTTTTTTTTTTTTTTTTTCCCTTCTGGAACTGAAACAAGTCAGTTCAAACTTTGGTCACTTACCATTATATATTTGCTGTGGGATTCTTTTTTGTTTTCTTTGTTTTGTTTTGTTTTTTTCCACCCCCAAATACCATGTTTCCTTCCACTAAGAATGGAAGGTAAGGAGTTGGGGAGATTAAGGAATAAAAGTGACTCATGGACCTCATGCTGTTCGACTTTCCCTTTAGGAGAAAAACAAAATTCGGAGTCGACCCTCCCCCCAGTGATAGCCTGGCCTCTCGGGCACCTGCAGTTATCTTTGACCGAATGGGTTGGGCTTGGTAGGGCTCCTTTATTTGAATTTGCTTATTGTTTGTTTGCAGTCGACAGCAGGTTGATTTTTAAATATAAAACACGCTGCTTGCAAGAGAGGAAGTCTGACAGATTCCCTTTAGAATTGGGGGGGGGGGGTTGGTGCCTGCCTTGCTTCTGGGAGTTGCTGCATAGTAGAAGGTCTTGCAAACGCACGCCTGCTCACTTCTCTCAGCCACTTCTGCAGACAGAAGCTTCCTCCAGCTGGCGGAATGGGTTCCGTGTCCTTCGAATTGCCTCCCTTGGAAAAACTGCCCTTTCCAAATAGTGCCTAAATTTTGTTTTAATCGGGTTAAAAACAAAAACCCACAAATGCGTTCAAGGCCTCATATTGCTATTAACAGGCAGTTTGGAAGAGATGCTCCAAGCAATTCTATACAATGTGTCTCAATACACCGGAGCACTATGGTTTCACATGTAATGTTAATTCTGTCCGAGACAAATCCCATAATCTGTGCAGTTTCAGAGCCTAATAGTGAAAGACATCGGGGTGGGTTTTGTTGGGGGTTTTGCTCTCTCCATCCCAGGGGCTCCCTGTCTTTCCTATCGTGCTAACCCACGGGCGGAAATGGGGCGGCTGGGGGATCAGGTTTTATCCGGGCACGCTGCGCTTACTGGGTGCTACCCGTTGAGAGAAAAAAAAACAGAGGTGTGTTGAAGGCACTGGTCACAGATCTGGGCATGCAGATACGCGACTGGGGCTTGGACACTTTTGTGGTAGGAAGGGGAAAGAGCTGTCCTTCCTAAAGGTTTCCAAGGAAGGCAAGAAGCAGGCTGAGGTCATGGCTGAGTCCGACCCTGTATCTTCCCGTTTGGGTTGTTTTCTACGACGTCCTCTTCAGTTGTGTGGGATGCGCCCGACGCCTGCCTGACTCCTTTGTTTTTCTCTTTTGCGTAATTAAAACATGTCTCTGTGTGCAGTAAACCACCACCTAACACTGGCACGCCTGGTTTTGGGTTACAGCTTTGTCCCGGTAACAACAGCGAGGTTTTCACCGGGTGTTAGATGCGGGTTCAAACTTGTGCTGTACGTGCCAGGTCTGGCTGCCCGACCACCCGCTTCTGGTTAAGTGCGGGCGGGCACAGTTCTGCGGCCGCTGCCCTGCAGGTGACCGGAATGGGCTTCCTGGCGCCTTCCAGGACGCCTAAGGCACCGCTTCCCCATTCCAGACCCGGCTTCCAGCCTTCGGGGCTGTTCAGTGCTGCGCCCAGGTCCAAAAAGGAAAAGACAGGGCACTCGGTTAAAAAAAGAAATGTAGAGGGGTAGGAGAAAAGGGATGAGGCTCCCCTCTGAAAGCCTCAGCCCAGAGCCCAGGACCCCGAGGGAGGGCGGAACACACAAGCACGACTTCCCCAGACCCGCCAGCCGGAGCACCTGGCTCTCCAGGGAGATCTCTGAGGGCCCAGAGCAGGCCCAGCTGGACTCCCTGTCGGCGCCACGGACGCCCCTCGGCGGGAGCCCCCGCTGTGGCGGCGGCGGCGGCGGCCTCCCCCTCGCTGCCGGGAGGAGACCCAGCGGTCTGCGGCGCTTCCTCCCGGGAGACGAGGAGAGCCAGAGGCCGTAGGCCCCGCCAGGCCCGCTTTCACCTCCCTGGCCCCCTCTCCTGGGCCCGGCCTCTCCTTGGGTCTCAGTTTTCGTTCCTTTTCCAGCGCAAGGTGCTCTGCTCCTGGCCGGACCACACACACACTCTCCTCCCTCCCTCCGCAACTCGGGCCGGGCCGTGCTGTCAGCCAGACGCCCCCCAAGCCCGCGGCCGACCCAAAGGCGACTTCAGGGCTCGACGAGGCCGCGCTCTCCGTGCGCTGAAGGCGCGCAGGCCCCGCGGCGGCTCCTCAGCTCTGCCCGCGGCCCCCAGCCCCCTGGGCTCTGGCGCGGCCGGATCCCGCGGGGCCTGAACACGTAGCCGAGCGGGGTGGGCTGCGGCCCGGCGGAGCTCCTGGGTTCGGACCCCAGCCGGAGGCAGGGCACAGGAAGGGAGGGGAACTCAAAGGACGAGAGACGGTCTCCTGTCGCCTCCGCCAGGCCCGCAGGGCTGTGAGTAGGGCCCAGAGGACGGTATCGGCCCGGGGAACTGACTTGGGCCTCTGCCCCAACTGGGGCTCCCAGGGGCAGGGATGCGAGTCCTTTCCCCGGCCATCTCCGACTGGCCTCCAACCCTGAAAGATCGCGGTGAGTTCGGCCGAGAACCCGGGCCGCGCTCCTGCGCCACCCCTGTGCACACCTTGGGGCTCAGTTCCCGCAGTCCCGCCCGGGGCCTCCCGGGGCCCCACGCCTCCCGCCCAGGCTGTGCGGGGCTGGGGCCGAAGGGACGTTTAGAGGAAAGGTGAGACCAAGGAACCGGATGGGAGTTGAGGAAACTGACCATTATCTAAAACTCGGAAATTTCGGCAGCCGGAAATTAATTGACTTGATTGCATTGCTCTTCTTATCTGGGAAGGCTAGAAACACTCCCAAGGTGAAATACAAACGGCCAAGAATCTTTGTGGGGAAGATAAAGGATTGGGGCAGCAGATTTTTGTGAAGCGGACCACCCCACCGACCTCTGCCCCCCGCCCCAGTTGCCAATATGCAGTTGAACTAGCTCCCTGACGCCTTTGGAGGGTGACGTCATTTCAGTACAAGTATCACCATGACTGGGCTTAATTTTGTTAAACCCGGTCTTGAGTAGGAGGGGTGATCAGAACTCTCTGGACGTCTTTAAGCCAGCGCTTGCTCCCCGCCCCCCTTTCCCTCCCTTCATTGCCTGCGGTCAGGGGGAATTCATTTCTACTTTGCCGTCAATCCAAAGGGATTTAACTCCGTGGTCTGTTAAACGAAGTTGTGCAAAGGTGATGGAAAAATTAGTTTCAGAAGATGCTCAACGCCTTTTTCTGACTTCCTCCGTGTTTATAGTATTGGGGGAGAAATCTAACCGCGTTATTTGCTGAGCAATTATTATTATGCCATGTTATAATTATACCATTATTATTTTTAATGAGAGGGGGTCTTTTCCTGATCCTTTGTGGGGCATCCTGAAAACTGGAAGCAGGGAGAGAAATTACTTTCGATCTGCTTTACTGTTGCATGAGAAAAGCTGGGAGAGTTAGATCCAGAAGCTGGAAAATTATAAAGCAAAGATTCTCTCTTGGGCCTCAATTTCACTTCGGTGTAAACTCTGTAGGGTAAATATTATCAATGGGTACTGGAAAATCTTGCCATGAAGTTTTGCCTCAGTTGCTTCTTGTTAACTATTGCATTTCCTTTAGCAGTAAAACAAAACCAATTTACTCATTAGGCAAGATTATGTAGGGTTCAAGAGAGCATGCACGGCCAGGGACAGAAAAATTAGCTAGAAAACAAAATGGTTGCAACTACTAAAGTCATTTAAAAAGTTAGTCAAGAGTCACTTAATTTGGGTCAAATTTAAGAACATAAAGAGTTTAACATTCAATACTGCTTTTACCTGAGGAGCACCATGACCATTGGCCCATTTGTCTTTTCTGGTGATTGGTTTACAAAATGCAAGTAGAACTGGGAAGGGACCTATTTTCTTTTCCTCAGCACTTTCTTTTAAACAAAACAAAAACAAAACTGACCAAAAAAATTTACCTGTTCCTTCTTTTTTAAAATTATAGGTTTTAAAACTTTTCTGGAACTCTTTTGTTCAGAAATCATTTCTGCCTGAACTGCTTTCAGATTCTGATTACATTCCCTCTCATGTTCACCTCAGATTTTTTTGGAAGTTAAAAAATTAAAAATCCCCTTAAATGAGAGGAGGCATAAAAAACAGAAATTCTTGCCATTCCCATTTTCTCAGTACTTCACAAGTTCTCCCCTGTCTGTGTAAAAAAAGAAATATGTTAAAGACACCCAGCCAGTGCCTAAGAAATCACCATGGCATCGCGGCAAAGGAGAACAAGATCCTAATGATTGTTAGGCTCCCTATATTCTATTCCAGAGCAGTCCCTGATGGAAGTCACACAAAGTGGACATGCCACAGTCCATAATCATCTAGTTCATCCATTGGTGAAGCCAAAAATGCTTTTAAATAGAGTTTATGGATTTCTGACCTAAATGATATGTTTAGGGAAGGAGAGGCTATGAGCTTCTCATCCATAAATAATTAACAAAATTAAACTGGACCCAACATTATTACTGGGGAACCATTTTAATATAATTATACATATCTGCCAAATCAGGAAGAAAAGGTTTATGCATATATAGCTTTTTTCCAGTTAACATCTACCCAAAAAGCATGGCAGCAAGCCCAGATCCTCAGTCTATAAATTCATCCAGGGTCAGGCAATTGACCAATGTCTCTTTACTGCCCAAACAGTAAATTACAGATGAATTAAGTGTCATGTATTTCTCTTCTCTCACTCTCCTTGTCCAGAGACATTTTGTTGTAAAGTTTCAGTGCAGCTCACCTCCAGCCAAAGGTAATCTTTTAGATAAGTACTCAGTTGCTCTGGTTGCTTATAATTATAACCCCTATTTAATCACAGAAGAACCCCTGCAGGGGGAGTGTAGGTTCAAGGTTGCATAATAACAAGGAGATCACAGTTTTGAAGTCTACTTTGAATTAAAACCACAGATGTACCATTTATATAAGACACACTGATTGTCTCTTAAACTACATATTGACTCATATGAACATTATTTTTTTAAATAAAGTAGCGTGCATCTAGGACAATCGATGGCACAATTCACACAGCCCTGAAAAGTTTTCAGTGCCAACTATGATTGGTCATGAAACGTGAGTGACCTTACTGTCCATTCCTAAGATTCAACCACCACGGATTGGCTACAAAACATTCCCCTCTGGCAAGAGGCTATGTCCTTCCCTCTTTCCCTCATAATTTAGTTTTGTTTATTTTTTTGGTGGTGTTTGGTTGCACATGGCTAGAAGAATGCTTTTGATCCTTTTGCAAATCCAGAAAACCAATGACCCAAAACATGACAGGATCTTAACTGGTCTGGCTCCATTTCAGGTTGCTGGTTGGTGGGCCTACAAGGAGCCCTTCATTTTCCTTCTATGCCTCTGGGATCATTCAGAAGACAGGTCTGAGCATCATCCCATCTAATTCTTTTAACAATGCCTGGCTAAAACTGGAATGTCCAGCCCAGTATATTTAAAAAATCACCACAAAAAGGTTCTATGGATCTTCACAAAACTAGATTTCCACGAGGATGTCTGATCTTTATAATCCAAGCAGTCAGCATTGAAGTTAAGCTTCCAGGAAGCAGTTTGGTCCTTATAATCCAAACAATCGTGGTTGAGTTAAAACCCAAGCTTGAAGCTCCATCATCCTGGGTGGAAGAAGAAGCTGGGGACTGATTGAGATGGCTGGTGACTGCATTGGTACCCATGGGGCTGAGTGTGGCCCCTGGTCCGGGAAGCTGGTGATGCATAGGGTCCAAATAAGATCCACGGTCATGCCCCCCCAAAGTAGGAAGTTGAGCCAACATGACTATAACCTGAAGCCTGAGTATGGAGTCGCAGGATAGGACCTCTGCATGCAGGAAGAGTGGACAAGGGATCGACAGTGGGGAGATGGAAGCTGGGCTCCAGATAGACACGGGAGCACTGCTGGAAATGGCGGGACTGAGGTGCTGGGGGAGTGAACCCAGCTCGTTCCCTCTCTGAACTCACTTCCCGGGCTGGAGGTCTTCTTTTGGCAGGTCTCACTTTGTTTGACCTCCATTCTGTTGCTACTGCTGCTGTTGGCGGCACCTTAGCTCTTCGATTGTAAATATACCTTGAAAGGAAAGAAATTTCTTAACATTGGTTTCAAGGACAGAGTGGCTTCAGATTATAAATCTGCTCTCCATGGACAGATGAGCTAAGCAGACAATGCTCCTGCCACCTACCAAAACCATTTGTGTGGTGTATATATACCTGGAATTGTAAGAAAGTGGGAGGCTGTCTTATGGACTCCCAACCCAATGTATTATCATAAATCATATGGCTATACTTCTCCTCTCATTTCCTATCTCGTATTTCACCTTAAATACTGCACACATACACACTA